CCAAGTATGACTAATGAGACTGCCACGCGAGCTTTTGTAAATACCATTTTGAGCATGAAACATAAATCAGCTATGTAACATGATTTGATTAGTTTTGCTCGATTTTCTATAATTAAAAGCATAAATCAGTGTCCGATTGTTTTAACATGTTATGACATCTCTTATTGTAATTAGGAAAATTAATGGTGGACTGATTGGAGAAAAAGGATTAGAAAAAACCATGAGAAACCTGCCCCTTGTATTTTTTCATGCAAATATGTTCTTATATAAACATGATTTTTCTGTTGGGACAAACTACTAAAAAAAGTTAATGCACTTAAGGTGATAATGGTTTCTTTCCACCATCGCAAAGCTCTTCCGGTTAAAGTACAGTACAAAACATGTGCAGTACTTTAAAGCTCGGGTATCTCATTTCCAAAGCACTACATTAAACGATGTGTAATAATATCCATGTTACTCTCACAGCAGTCTGGTTCTATCACTAGTTTTCACATATATATATTTTGGGACTCTGTCATGTCTTTAGATCACCTTTTCCAGACACAAAAGTTAAAATAAGGCACCAACATCAGCTTTGAGCCCAAGAGTGCCTCATGCAAACAATAACCTGTTTTCTGCTAAGATGAAGACGGCAAATTGGTCTGATTTCTTCACAAAATGTATTATTTTTGGAAAAACAAAATGATCCTTCCAATGATCTTGTTGTTTCAGATTAAAAATGAATTACCATGCCAGTGCTCTAAATTGCTCTAAATTCTCCCACAATGGAATAAAGAACGATTAACGTGTCTGTGTCTTTTCTCACGTCCGCCAGCATTTTCATTCACAAACACATCACTATCAAAGGCGCCGTGTTGATACATCACTAACAGCGGCGCCGTTGCAGATTAAGTGAAATGTTAGGGGTGTTAAAATCTTCAAGTATTTTCTATGGGAAGTAAGTTTCCTGTGACTGCCCGGTTATATTTAGCTTTTTCTCTGTTTTATAATACCCCTGTAGTCTCTAGTGGTGCTTTCCCAGTTACTTCCCTTTGAAAGCGATCAGCCCTTGTTTTCCTGTTTTTAGCTCTGAAATGGGTTGTGCTATTGTTAGCGCACAATAGGCAGGTGCATGTTTGTGTTGGTGTTATTTTTAAGCTGTTTGTGGTTTCCCCTTTGTCACATTTACAGTAAGCTCAACGTTGTTGCTCTGTGCTATCGTTTCAATCTTTTTGTTTATGAGGTCGAGGCGGTGTTTTTGAGGCCACTTCTCTTTAGATAGTCCCGCGACTGGTGACGCCTGGTTGTTTTTAATGTGTGAATATTGTTTACCGCTGGTGCTTTTGTGACGGCCGCTCTACAATACTTGTGTTTGTGTAGATCATGCTGGAAAACTGGACTCAGCATTATCTGGGCGGGACAGTGGACAGGAGAGATTCAGCATCCCTGCGCTCCTATTGTTGTCGCTTGCTCATAAAATATGCGGTTTTATAGACTAGCTGGCAGTATGGAATGGTGCGGTTTTAATTTTTTACAAGGACAGTGTACAATAAACATTAGCCAAGAAGAGAGATGCATTGTACCAGGTTGTAGCAGCAGTGCTAATAAACACCTGTAGTCCCTGAGCAGGTTGTAGATGGATGAGCTTACATTTATCATGCAGATATTACAATTTAGTTATAATAAGACCACCCAGCTCCCATTCTTCACATTCTCTCTATACATGTGTGTTACAAAGTGCAAACTGTATCATTTTGTTAGTAATAAGTTGGATGCTCTTTGTATTTTAGTACTTATGGTCAGTGTGGGTCTTTCTGTGTGGGGTAGAGTTACTATGTTTCTAGTCACATTGTAAAAAGTGAAGACAAATAAGTATAAAATGGCTCGAATTTGGAAAAAGGTATCTTAATTAGAGCACATTTTGACTGGCTTTACACCAGATTTGCCAGCTCTCATTCAGAGTTCCTTTTAACAAGAATATATGTTTTTGCACACGATGAAGACTGTATGTTGTGGTCTGATGTGTTTACAATATTTTACTTTTGCAAGAGTCTTTCTGCGACTGCGAGTACAAGCAAAATGTATTGTTCATGGAAATATGGATTTAAAGTTTCATGGAAACTTTCTTTTATACCTCAAGCTCAAATCCAGTTGGTTTTCCTTGTTTTATAAAAGAAAAAACAGAACAGTTTGGTAATGGGCAAACCAATCAATTCAAGTCTCAAAATGAAATCCCTAAATTGAAAGCTGGAGTTGTTTGATATGGTTGTTGAAAATCTAAGCAGATATAGATCTTACAGATATATTTTTTTCCGACGTGGTACTTAGTTAGAACATACAGTGGGTATTTTTCTTAAGCTCACTCATTTACTCACACTCAAGTTTCCTAGTTATTGGTTAAGTCTCATGCCCTGCCCTGGTTATAAATAAGTAGCCAGTTTGTTCTTGTGATGCATACATAACATGTCTTCTCAGCTGTTTCTAAGTGGCATTATAGAACAGATTGTTCCGAGTTGTTGGAGAAACTCTGGGCCATATGGCCACTCCCACATGCTTTGTAGAACACTCAGCTGATGCCTCGCTCTGACCTTAAACTAATCTCCCACTTACAGGACAATGTTTCTTCTATGTTTGGGTCCCACCTATGGATCTTTGTGAACTGAATTGGATACAAGTACAATAATCATAACAATGACTATTAAAAAAATGCTCAAATGGGAAATACTGGGTCATTGAGATGAATAACATGGTTTAAATCTCATTCATACCTATTGGGAAATTCTTCTGACATTGATGGACGACTCGCTTCCATAATCTGTTGCAGTCAGCACTTTCTTGCTTTGGCGTGAAGAGACTGGGACCGTTATGTTTATGTGGAAGTCAAGTCAGTTTATTACCTCATTTTAGATGGTATTGATATAAAACTACCTCTGCTAGAACATGTGCAAAAAAGTAACTTTTATCATTAGATTCTTGACATTTCTTGTTTTAGTTTTGTTATTACTGATCTGTTTAAGGTCACATCTCACAAAAGTCTGTTAAATAGAACAGCTAAGGATTAATTAATTCATTCATTCATTTTCAACCCCTTTATTAGTCAATTTCTGGGTTGGGGGGGGCAATGAGAGCTGCTACCCAATGCTCAACGCACCGGTCCCTCTGATCCTTTGTGGGTGAGTCCACAGGAAGATGGCTGCTACATCAGTGGTGCCACAGACTTGGTGTTTCAGCGGGAGCTTCAGGCAATGTGGGGTTAAGTGTAGGGCTGGGCAATAAATCGAATTTAAGCAATTAATCGGCTTTTGAAAAAATCGAATTTGTGAAAAATGTGAAAATCGTGAAATTGAATGAAGGATATTCTGAGAGTTCCAGCAGCACATGAATTATACTTGCAATATCAGCACAGTACTTTTACAATACGTATTTGGGGAAACAAAATAAAAATGGTTTTGAAACTTGATTATTGAGTGGAAAGATCAAAAAATAGTTTTAAGGGCAAACTTTAATGAAAATCGATTTTAAAATCGAAATCGTCCAAAGCAGGAAATAAAATCGAGATTTAACTTTTTTGCCATATCGCCCAGCCCTAGTTAAGTGTCTTGCCCAAGGACACAACGACAGCATACATTAGTGGGAGCCGTTGGAGTAGGTCCCATGATGGGCTCAAACCCACGACCTTCCGGCGCAAAGGTCAATGCTCTACCAACTGAGCTACTGTTGCCCCGTTGCTATCAGTTTTGTGTGGTATAAAATCCCAAGATTAGCATAAATCCAAGACTAATTTAAGGACTTAATTTGTCCTCTTTTTTAAATTCAGATTTACTCATTTGTTTTGGCGAGTGTCCTGTTGACATCTACCAGCAGCACGTTGAGACATGTTACGAAACCAAAATGAAATAAGGCATTCTTGTTGCCTTTTTCTTGCAGGCGAGGACAAGTTGCGTAACCGGCTGAAAAGCAAGAGAGAACAGTTTAGAGAAATGGTGTTGCCCCTGGCCACGGGTCGCGCTTGTGTGTTGAGACCTTTTGTGGTCAAGTGCTAGAATTGGTCAGAAGCCAGATCTCTTCTGCGTGGAATGCTCTGAGGATCTGAGGGGGCTTTTGTCTTGCCTCTCATCTGTTCTCTGCGCATTTTCATCCCATTATTTACATTTTTTTTTCTATTCACTTATTTTGATTATTGTGAATTGGGACAAAAACAGAAATGTAAAAAAAGTCTAAATAATTTACTTCAACAAAAGCAAATAAAGTACATAAAGTATTGTGTGATGTTTTTAGAGTTTCACATTATCATCACATTCATCTTTGGTGTTGGAGACCAGTTTTTTTCTTTCCTCTTGTAGAAGCATGCACAAAATCCACTTCTGTCACCCCCAGGCTTACAGATAAAAAGACCTGGAGGCATGCAGCACAATATAATTAAGTTTTTATATTGACTGACCATTGGGAGAATGCTTTGATATTGGTATTCATTTATTTATTTATTTATTTCACGTTTACAAGTTGCTGAGATAACGTTTCATTGTATTTGTATAATGACTATGAATGTTAGGTGCATTCATACAAGGAAATTGGCAGAAACAGGATTTTTATTTTCTTCATTATAATTATGAATAAACAGTCTGTGTCTTGAGGGTTTAAGATACATATAAACAATTTGTTTTCAATGTTTTTTTATCCATTTAATTAAATAGATGTTTCTCTCTCTGTCTCTCTTTCTCGAAAGCATAATATATCTTTTTTTTTTTTTTTGAAGATTGTTATGGAAGTCAAAATATTAAAAACAAATGCGTGCATGTTGTTGTCTTTTTGTTTGGCCAAAATCATTGATATGAATTCCTTTCATCTAGATTAGTATTGTGCATCTTGACTATTGAGATGCGTATGCGGTTTTTTTTTAGATTGTTTAATAATTTGATACAATATACATGTTTTTATTTACTAATTCTACTGTTTGCTAACATAACACTGAAATTCCTAGAAGCATCGGCTCATATGTTCTTCCTTCCTCTTTCTTTCAGGCCTACGAGCGCCGCTTCCCCACCTGCCACCTCATCCCCATGTTTGTGGCCAGTGACGTGGTGAGTGAGGAGAACAGCGAAGACAACAGCATCAACAAGATCGAGCGGCGCTGTGCCCTGGATGTGGACGCCCCTCGCCTCCTCAAAAGGGTAGGCCAGCACTCTGTGGACAACGGAACAATTTATGATTTAGAAGCAGACATGTTAGCGACCTCAGGCAAATGTGTCGGAAAACTCAAGAAAATTCAATCTCAGAGGTTGTGCAATTCAGATTTGGAAATGATCAAACGGTCCTATTTTTTATTTATTTTATTTATTAAAGTCGACAAAACAGACACGCATGAACATTCAACAACACAAAAGGAACACAACATAAAACAATGACAAGAATATAGAAGAAAACAAATAAAACATCAAATAAATCTACACAGGTAGACAAAGGTGAAGAGTACACAAACAATCTGAGATTATTAAATGTTAAATTGAGACTGGGTCCTTCTACTGGTGATATAAAGCTAGTTATCAAACCTTTGACCCCAAACTTAAACTATTCCCTCTTTTCTAGTGTGTTTTGATGAGTATACAATTGAAACTATCGGAAGCAAAAAAAAAAAATCCCTAAAATTACAAGATGATATTATTTTGAAGCAGCCATAATCATAAACAAACACTTGGCATATGTCACTTTGCTTGACATAAGTCTAAAAACATTTTAAGTTGGATTACAGAACTAATTGAACGTCTGAACAATATTGGACTTTTCAGAGTTTTTACAGAACAGCAGTTGATGTTGTTAATTATTGGATCTGTGAAAATGATAATAATAATAATAATAAGCCATTTTATTTATATAGCACCTCACATTTCCAGGAAACATCAGTGCTACAGATTAGAATACAACATCACCAACAAAAATATTCTGTCCATGTGATCTCATATATTGTTGTGTGGGTTACAGATTGCTGGTGTGGACTACGTTTACTTCAGCCAGAAAAACACCCTGAACCGTAAAGAGCGGACGCTGCACATCGAGTCGCACAACGAAACCTTCTCAAACAGGGTCATCATCCACGAAACCTGCTGCTACTCGGTCAGTACTAACATCCTTCCAGCTGATGCCTGTATATTATATTTGTATTATTGTTCTAAATTAACTTCTATTTACCCAGGAAAATTACATTAAGATTCCAATATCTCTTTCTCGAGGGTCCTTTGGCCAAGAGGCATTCACAATATTCAATTGGATTTATCTTTGTATAGAGCTAAATCCCAGGATTAGAGTAACAGATCAGAGTAACAAAAAACGTGAAATTTGACAATAAATTATCTAAATTAAATTAAACCATTGCATCTACATGGAAATATATCCACATATATTTAAAAACAAATCTTTTTTTTCCAAGGGTCTCCTGGCCAAGAGACATTCATAATATTCAATTGTACTTATTTTTGTATTGCCCTAAACCACAACAGCAGTCGTCTGGGAGAACTTGTCGATTCCTCATCAACAGATCAGAGAATCAAACAACGGCATGTTGAACCGCACACGCACTAATGTACTTTGAGTAGATAAGAGCCGGGACACTTGGGCCTCTCGTCTCACCATGCTAATTTTAGTCTCCAGCCTCTGATCTTTTCCGGTGCTTCATACAGTGCAAACATAAACGGTTCGGACAGTGCGATTAAACCGCGCTAATGGACTGGCTAAAGCTCCAAACACCAGGGTGGTCATGGCTAACGAAGCAGCCAGTCCCCTGCTCGGAGGCTGGCGCGTGAAATGCAAACGTACAAATGTGGACCAGAACATGTGCCTTTGTAGTCGTATGGTCACACTGACACATGGCCTCCCACTCGCAGCAATCATGGCATTTGTGCGTCATCCTCTGGAGAAGCTGGGTGTGTGGTTTCCATAGTAACGAGACATTCTTGCTTTTTATTTTGAACATTCATAGGGATGGACGGTCTTGCCCTATAAAACATTTTGTTAATTGGTTTGTAATAATTATCTGCATATAGCGTATCTTTTACATCGTCTTTCACTCAACGACACAGACTTGTTTTTGCTGTTTCCACCCATGTGTTTTGAGGCTTTCTTTGATCATAAGTAAATAATCTTGACCTTGTGTGTCAGATGTGCAAATGTGGTTCTTTGAAATGCAATATGCTGAAAAATAAACCGGCTTTATGATCGGGGATGCATTTTGCACACAGGTTTGCGTAAAGCTTTTCTTTTGTCTTTCGACTTCCATCTTTTCCATTGTTCCTACTGTGTTTGGCCTTCACTGTCAGTGCTTGAAACTCTCTGCAGTCTCTGTCCAACCTCCTCGCGTATGAGAATACTCTAGTGTAGGGCACATTCTTTTGTTTTCAGAATATTTCTTTATATTATTCAACAAACGAGTAATTCTCACGCATAGACATTGTTACTTAAACCACAAAAAATAATCTTTAAGTTAAGGCATTACACGATAGAAGCTGTAAATGTCAGTTGAAGTGGATCCCTCTCTCGTAGTTGGCCTCTCTGCAGTTTCTGACTTGTTCCCACTGGTTTTTTTGACTCATATTTGCCGATGCATTGTGGCGTAAGGAACATGATGATCCGGTACATTAACGACATTTATGGACATTAGTCATCAGCTCCATCTGGACATATAGCTCCTATGTGTTTGGTATTATTATTTTCCCTGCTTGATCCAACTTTGCCCTGTCCAAGTCCTGTAAGATGACAGCTGTGGTGATTGAGGGCTATACAAAAATATATTGAATTGAATTTTAGTATTTTTAATGTAGTTTACATATTAATGACGTGTCTTCTGTACGTATTTATTTCTCAGGTTCATCCCGAGAACGAGGACTGGACTTGCTTCGAGCAGACTGCGAGCCTGGACATAAAGTCTTTCTTCGGCTTTGAGAGCACTGTGGAAAAGATTGCCATGAAGCAGTACGCCGGCAGCATCAAAAAGGTGCCTTTACTGTACAACTCATACTTCCTTCATTTTTCATAATTATATTTCAGAACTCAAAGCCTGAGTGTGCTGTGTTTGAGTGGGTTTTTGAGTGTCTGGAGACGGAAGTGGACATTATGCTGTGAGAAATGAGCGTGCTGTCTGTCAGAGGGGTTTTGATGAGTCAGTTTTTTCTCCGTCTGTAATAGACTTGTGTAATCGCCGAACGTGGGCAGCGGGTCACTTTGGTGTGGACGCTGACTCACTGGCTGTCATGTAGTGTGATCGTCTCCATAGCGTTATGTAAATGCAGAATGTTACAAAAGCAATAAATGTACTCTCAGCTTTGCATTTATATCACATCACTTGCCACAGTAATAATAAAACACACAATGTAAAACCTAGTGAATTACGTTTAGATACAGTTTATATAGAGTTGCTAACCAATTACAATATAAGTATAGTTATTGGCCAAAAACTGCAAATAACCCAGAGATAACCCTCAGTATTATAGTGAAAGTGGTGGACGCAGACTGGAAAGCAACAACATGAATGTCAAACATGCACTTATAGTCAAAGCGTTTCTTTGACATTTGCAGTGTAAAATTTGAATAATTTCTCAAAATACTCAGAGACAAGCCTGAAGAAACACAAAGTATATTTATCAAGAGTAAAAAAATTGCACCCCTGTGGTTTAAGCATAGCCTGTATATTAGTAATGGACTGACATGATCCACAAAATGAGCCTTAATGCAGAAGAGGCCGATTAGCTTGACTGTGAGCAAGAATATGGATGCAAATTTGGTTGTTAGCAACGGCCAAGTTTTGCCCCACTTGTGCTACTTGCTAGCTAAAGCTGTATTCGGCAACAGAAGGCTCCAGCTGTTGCTACAGCCACAGCGTCCCTTTAGAATAGGTTTGGACACTTCTAAGCTAGAGGGTTAGGATTGTCCATCTATGTACAGTCTATGGGTTTAAGGGGTATATCTATAAAAACAGGAGCTAAAGTACATAAGAAACAGACTAAATATTTTTTCCCCTCAATACTGCCCTCCCTCTCTCTCCGTTTGTAATGAAAATTCACTCGTTATCTCATGAATGTGTCTCTAGGGAAAAGAGATCATCGAATTCTACCTGAAGGAGCTCGAAGACGAGGGAATTATACAGGTTCCACGCTGGTCGCCCTCCTCCGCACTGATGGCGCCGCTGCCCAGACCCACCACGCTGTCGGCCACGCCCTTTGTGCCCATCACGCTGCCCACGTCACCCACGGTCCCCGCTGCACCCACCCCTGCTGAGGTGAAGGAAGGCGCCTGTGGAGAAACCAAACCAGAGACAAGCCTAGTGCTTCAAACAGACGGCCTGCTGGAGATTCTGACGGGGACCCCTGAAGGTATGAGTGATATTTGGAGTCTTCTTAATAATCCAAATAACACAAATATTTCCTACGCAGTATAATTTCCTCCCTGAGAGAGAATCTATCTTTTGAGTAGTCCTAATTACATTTTCCTAGGCAAGTTATCTATATTATACCTTTTTTCAGTAACCTTCTATTCACACCAGTGTTACAATGAAACAATGAAAAAAATATCAGGTAAAAAGCCAATAGAGAATTGTGAAGCAAAATTATGAAAACAGTCTAGAATTAGTATTGTTTTTTTTGTAAATTTTTGATAATGTTATTATTATTATTATTATAAGTAAAGCTGATAACATCTTACAATTTTTTGCAATGCAGATAAGTTGGATGCCGATTATATCAAGCGTTACCTTGGCGACCTCACACCGCTGCAGGAAAGCTGTCTCATCCGACTTCGCAAATGGCTGCAAGAAACGCACAAGGGAAAGGTGACATTTCATTTAAATTCCAAAAGATTTTTCATAATTACCATTTCATCATTGATTCTATATATTTATATAAATATATATATTTTTTACCCATTTCTAGATTCCCAAAGATGAGCACATCCTCCGTTTTTTGCGAGCGCGGGACTTCAACATTGATAAAGCTCGAGAGATTCTGTGCCAGTCTCTGACCTGGAGGAAGCAGCACCAGGTGGACTACCTCCTGGAGACCTGGACTTCGCCTCAGGTCCTTCAGGACTTCTACACGGGCGGCTGGCACCACCACGACCGAGGTGCAGCTTTTCTTTCATACAACTTCTTAATATGTTTTCTTGCACACCAGAGAAATGTGCTGGTAACTACAAAGTCTAAAGCCTAGCGTACATCGACAGAGAAACTGGAGACAACAAGTTGCAAGGCGGCTTTTGGCAACTGAGAGGAGATGGTGGAGATGATCAGTTGCCGAAATCGGTCGATGTGCGCGCTCTTACAACTGGAGATGATCAGTCGGTCTCCAGTTTCAGTCAGTTGCCCGTGTTCTACTTTTCGGCAACTAGTTGTCCTCAGTTTCGGAGATATGACCCGATGTGCGCGCTCCATGCGCCGCTCCGACAACGTGTGTGTATTGCGTGTATTGCGAGCCTGCAACAGTTTATGTCAGAAAACACACTGTGGTTGAGGCCAGTTGCTGTCGATGTACGCGCTGTTATTCCCGAGACTGGTCTGCTTCAGGAGTTGCCCGTTTTCGTCAGATTGTCGATGTGTGCGGGGCAGCAACTCATATGCGACTGATATAATCAGTTGCCAGTCCGATGTACGCTAGGCATTAAAGATTAGATTATAGTAACATCCATTCTTTGACACGCAGGTTTTTTCAGATTTAGAGTTATTTTAATTTGCCATTTGCAATGAAACCACATTGGAATACATTTGCACAGTGTCCAGTGTGCACAAGACTAGTACATACATTAGAACAGAAATAAAGCTAAAAAGTAAAAAAACTGAAATCGATCAACTAAAACGATAGAGCGATAGAACCGTCCAAATCGTATCTAATTTAGTCCTAATTTTTAGTTTCTTACTCTGGAAACTTTTTGGTTCCACTACTTTGCACGTGCATTTTTGTCACATCTTAAGATCAGCATTTTCAGACTAAAAGTGAAAAAAGCCTCATACGGCCCAAAGCGTCAAATTGTGGCTCTTTCTTACACGTCTGCAAAGGAGGACATGTAGATGGCACGTGGTGGTTTAATTCGTCCAGAAACTTTTACTGTTGGGATAAAGAACATGTCATTTCCATGTAGAAAAAATTAGATACCCAAGTTGATTTTATTAATATTACTTGGTAGCATGAATGAATGAGATGTTTTTATTTGAACGCAAACAAAATATAGCTTTTGTTTTGCAGGAGAACTTTTTATAGGCCTTCAAGTCTCAACTGTTGACCTATTTTCTGGAGTAGTCACGGGTGCTGCCGTGATCATTCTTGATGTGTTTTCTTAGCATTGGGCTGCTGATCTCTCCAGCAAATGTTGACTTTCTGGTGCATGAGAACAAAGACGAACAAACCTACTGTATACAATATTATGTCAAGACCTTATTCTCATTATACATTGAACTACATTTAATTCTAATTTAAAGATGTTTACTTTAAAATGTTTTTGGTCCAGTAGAGAGTCACTACACGTTGTTTTCATCTTATTAGACAACATTCTATCTTCCGCATTCTGGTACTTGTAGGAAAGTATTGTTTGATGTGTTGGGCTGAGATCTGATTGGCTGAGCAAGAGTGGATTGGCTTTTTCAGACAGAAAAGTGAGAAAGAGGAGCATAGATGTGACGGAGGCTTAAAAAATGCTACGAGTGACTAAATCAAAACGTCGATTTTATGACATTTTTGTGATTTGAATCTGAAACAATTGCAGATCCCAATGGTGGTTTGCAATTTTTGGTGGTTACTGGGAGCCTGAAGTAAAAGCAGGCAGGATGGAACAATTGTGGAGGGGTTGCTTTTACAGATTAGTTTAATCTTTATTTGAAAGAAACGCACACATACAGAATCGCACTTGTACCTTAGAACCACACCTCTCATTCTCATCATAGAAAACCGCATAACAAAAATATATTTCTTAACACACACATACCATTTCATCAATACATAAATTTCACATCTAATACACAAGTGATTATTATTGACATGATTCTAAAGGTTCACTGTGATCCTTGTAGATGGCCGTCCCCTGTACATCCTGAGGCTGGGTCATATGGACACAAAAGGCCTGGTGCGCGCCCTGGGAGAGGAGTCGTTGCTGAGACACGTATGTATCAAGAGATTAAGCTGCTCGTGTGAAGCGAGGCCTGTGGCTACGTGCGCTGGAGTTTGCCATAGTTTATAGGTCAATGGTAGCTGGCTTACAGGTTAGATAACGAATGCACACATCAGCTAACGAGGGTGCCAACACTGTGACGTCTATGTAACTATCCTCAATACCTACTGTAAGAATTAGGCCAATTGAAAACAAATTAATGAATTACACTGAGTACGTTTATAAAGCACTAGTGAAAAGAGGATAACTCGCCAAGTCCAATTTAAGTAGATTGAAAGAAACCGAGTCGAGGTGTGAAAATCCAGTCCGTTGGGCATAACATGGATTGAACCATTTTCTGCTCTGGTGACCCTGGCATACAACCACATAATCTGGATCCTTCTGGGACAAGGGCCAACATACTTAAGAGCACAGGTAAAAGCCATGATTATGATAATATTATTGGCGACTCACTCATTTTGATAATTGCAATGATGCCTGTCCTCTTTAATGATGCCACTAAACAGGAATCGTGGTCCGTTTAAGAGCACACCGGAAAAAGATTTGTGCTGCAGCATTTCATGAGAATCAAATGCCCAAAGTAAACAAATTATATGATCGCATTTGCCGTTTTATTTACATTAACAATTACAAAGTTAAAGTAATGAAGCAAAGTTATGAGGCAAAGTTATGAGGCACTTTTGATTGGATAATTCCCTAGTAGGTAAACCAGTAGCAAAGCGGTCTGACCAGTTTGGAAGCTTCGTTAACAAACCCATTTTTTTTGTACTGTTCTAGGTCCTCTCCATCAATGAGGAAGGACTGAGGCGCTGTGAGGAGAACACCAAAGTCTTTGGTCGGCCAATCAGGTACAACTTTGCACCCTTTTTTTTTTTTTTGCTGTGCTTTTAGGTATTTTATTCCTCTGAAAAACACCTGAATTTGCATTTGGTTTCATTCACTCCTGTCTCAAAAATCCAGTTCTTGAAGGCCTTGAATTTCCCAGATTTCTGAGAATTTCTGGCACCAAATAAGAATGTCTTGGGTGAAATAGGTTTTGTTTTTAAGATATTTCCCTCTGCTGCCAGAAAATAGTGTGCGCACACCAACCCACCCATGTGTTTTCTCATTCCCAATCCAATAAAAAAGAAACATCAAACAATTCTCCAATATTTTCAACATGAAGGTACTCGAGGGCAAGTTTAAAGGGCAACAGAGATACAAAAAGCACATTTGTGTCCTAGATTTTCTTTTTTCTTTTTAAATGAGACTGAGAAGAATGCACCATATTCTTTAGTATTTATTTATGCTTTTAAATGGGTAGGATATGTATGATATGTAGGTTATAATATGCATCCCAGTTGTTCACGGATATGTATGCATGTTGACCAGTTGTAGTATTTATGGTGTTATTTGCTGGTTAATTATCTCAAGATTTTGTTTATTTATCTTTTTATGCAGAAAGTGCTGTCCCATTATTTAACATGTCTACATTGTTTTAACTGTAGCTGTAAGTTAGTGCATTTTAGTCAACGGAATACTCGATCGACCAAGTATTTCTTCGGTCAAATTTAAACCTAACCTTTGTTTTGTGTTGCTATAAACGATATGAAATGCATTCGTCTTGTGTTGCTCTTTGTGGCCTGACTCACAGTGCGGTTGTGAGAGGGAGGGATCAGAGATAGTATCTGTCAAGTCTCGGCTTACTCAAACGGCAGGAGGTGGCCGGGACGCAAGCCAGTCAGGAGCAAATTATGAATGGATACAAGTGCATCGGCAAATAGATGAGAGGGAAGTTATGGAGGGCACTGAAAAGCCGTCCAAATTTAGCAAGTATTACTCTGCCCACTTAAGCCTTCAGCTGCTGAGTGGCGCAGCTGGCGAGTGTCTGTGGCATTTATCAACACGAAGCTACTATCTCTGTGTAGCTGCTGGACGTGTTTGGTGGATCTGGAGGGACTGAACATGCGTCACCTGTGGAGGCCAGGAGTGAAAGCCCTGCTGCGAATCATCGAAGTGGTAGAGGCCAACTATCCCGAGACTCTGGGACGCTTGCTTATCTTAAGAGCCCCCCGTGTTTTCCCAGTGCTCTGGACACTGGTGAGACATATTTTGTTCACAAAATGATAACGTGTAAGCCAAATATGTGTCGGCTGATAGGTTTTATTTGTGTTACGTTTTCTAGGTCAGTCCGTTCATAGATGAAAATACTCGTAAGAAGTTTCTCATTTATGCCGGAAACGACTACCAGGGTCCGGGAGGGTTGGTGGACTACATCGACAAAGAGATTATCCCGGATTTCCTTGGAGGAGAGTGTATGGTGGGTATTTTAAAAAACTTTCAAAAAGATCAATAACAAAGTCAACCAAGCATGAAATCTTATCATTGATCACGCAAAAAAAATCATGTCCAATGCTACTTATGTATATTTTTTAAAGTTTAAAGTACGGAAAAATGGATCCAACCTGGACAAATTTCACCAATTTAAGACACAACGCAAAATATTGTCCTTGATTTAAGAAAGGAATATTAAAAAATGTGTCCATATTGTTATTTTTATTCATGAATTACATAGCCTGAACCACTGAAAATTAGATAACTTACTTGAACTAAAATGTGAAACCCATTTGCAGATTTCTTGCATATAGCTTCTACATCTATTTTGAAAATAAAATACAGTATTTTACGTTGTTACAAGTTCTTATTTGGGTAGGAACTTGTATCATAATGTTTGAAATGTATCACAGAGTTCCAGACCAACAAAAATTCCTTGTCGCTTTTGTTGGAAGTGCTCATTATTGCTTTATAAATTTACTAAAGAAATATTTTTTTTAAAAGGACTGAGATTAAAAGCATTTGGGTGCAGTCTTGACAAGTGCGATGTACAAATAGGTCAACCCATTTCTATGTCGCAGCTTACGGGTTTGTGTTAATATTCTGTGTTCTTCATGTGGTTCAGTGTGAAGTGCCAGAGGGCGGCCTGGTTCCCAAGTCCATGTACCGAACGCCAGAGGAGCTGGAGACCGAGGACGTGCGACTGTGGACGGAGACAATCTACCAGAGCTCCAGCATCTTCAAAGGAGCTCCACACGAGGTCAGCCCAAGACCACACGGCTTTTAAATACTATGACATGGATTCTTAGAGGTTGGATAACTCGACTAGTTTTGTGAACCCTGTGACACCACCAGAGCGCAACAAAATGATAATTAAGACCTACTCTCAAAGACCACCAACTTTAAACAATAAAAACAGCTTTTTAAAACTTAAATTCAATTTAAATATTTTTTTCAGAACATCACAAGTATCAGATACACAGAACAAAAACACAGTAATACCATGGCTAGCACAAAACTTGCAAAACTCTCCACTAAAATAAACAGTAAAAGTATGCAGCATTTAACATCTATTTCACTTACTAAATAAAAAATGAGGATAATAAGGAGGATAATGAGGATATAAGCCTAAAGAGTCCAAATCCATCAAGGAGTAGTATTGATCTTGCAGGAAAAATAGAAAATAAATACAATCTCCAAATCAAGTATTTTGAGTATGAAAATGTACACAATTTATTTAAAGAATTAAAGATAAGTGTATAATCTGTGGGAATTCCTGCTACTTTGTGTCCCATGATGAGAGAGTGTGGTGTAAAGAAACCCTAGCCTGCCCCCTAGTGGGTAATAGGGGAACCTGATAGAATGTCTACTGTTTGACTGACACTTTGTATAACTCTCAAGCCAAGAACAGGTTCACACTTTTCACTTTTCACAAGATTTTTGGTGTTACTGGAGCATTGTGTGGGCTTTCCAGAAATATTCCTCTAATGCTGTCAATAATAGCCAATAATAATTTGATAATCAGATTGAAATTACATAATGCTGGTTGTACAGGAAGGTTCTGGGTTAGAGTTCACCTCTAGGATTTTCTCTGTGGACTTTGCATGTTCTCCCTGTGCCTGCGCAGGTTTCCTCCAGGTTCTCCAGTTTCCTCCAGGTGCTCCGGTTTCCCCTACCACTAAAAACATGTACAATAAGTGAGGGTTGAATGAGTTTGTGTTTGTGAGTGTGTGACGACAGATGTGAATTAGCTACTGAGCCACCGTCCAGTATTTACTGTGACTGCCGTTCATGAATACGCACTGTCCTAGACCAACAAACTAATAAATAAATAACGTGTCGCTTCTGCCTGTAGATCTTGATTGAGATCATCGACGCCTCCTCTGTCATCACGTGGGACTTCGACGTGTGCAAAGGAGATGTGGTTTTCAACATTTACCACTCCAAACGCGCCCCTCAGGCTCCACGCAAAGACGCCCTGGGACAGCACGCCATCACGTCTCCAGTGGGCAACAACGTCCAGCTCATCGACAAGTCCTGGACGCTGGGGCAGGACTACAGCATGGTGGAGTCGCCCCTCACCTGCAAGGAGGGCGAGAGCGTGCAGGTCTGTGCCGTGAATCATCGAGAGTTCAGTTTTTTTTCCGATTGGAGAGCTACTTTTGTGCAACAGAAATGGCAGAGAGCTAAAAAAAACTGTAGTCTATGTAATGACCGCGGGATATTACAGGCCTTTTGGACATTAAGATTAAGATTTAGAGATCCTTTATTCGTCCCACAGTGGGGAAATTTCAGTTTTGCATCACAGACTCCACTAAAATAGAATAAGAAGGCAAGGCAAGGCAAGTTTATTTGTATAGCACAATTCATACACAAGGCAACTCAAAGTGCTGAACAAGATAGCATTAAAATCATAAATAATCACAGAACATTAAAAAGAAAGATAAAAATATAAAATCCCTCAGTTGTATGCACAGCTAAACAGAACTGTTTTTAACTTGGTTTTAAACATTGTCAGAGAGGAGGTCTGTCTCACATCTTCAGGAAGACTGTTCCAGATTTTAGCAGCATGAATCTGAAAAGCAGCCTCCCCATGTTTAGTTCTGACTCTGGGCACTAACAGGAGTCCAGTCCCTGTGCTCCTCAGAGTCCGGGCTGGTTCATATGGGACTAACATGTCACTAATATATTTTGGTGCGAGGCCATGGAGAGACTTGTACACAAGCAGAGCTGTTTAAAGTCTATTCTCTGAGCCACAGGAAGCCAGTGCAGAGACTTGAGAACTGGACTAATATGGTCGTACTTCCTGGTTCTAGTCAGGACTCGAGCTGCTGCATTTTGAATGTACTGCAGCTGTTTTACAGCCTGTTTGGACAGACCTGTGAGCAGGCCATTGCAGTAGTCTAACCTACTGGAGACAAATGCATGGATAAGAATCTCCAAGTCTGCTTTAGACACTATGTTTTTGATCCTGGCAATGTTTTTTAGATGGTAAAATGCTGCTGATGTTACTGATTTGATGTGGCTATTAAAATTTAAGTCTGAGTCCAGTATTACCCCTAGATTTCTGACCTTGTTTGAAGGTGTTAGGGAGAGAGACTGTAGGTGACAGATGACGCTCTCCCTTTGTTTTTGGGGACCAAAGACAATCATTTCAGTTTTGTCTGCGTTTAGCTGAAGGAAGTTGTTTTGCATCTACTCACTGATCTGTTGGATACAGTGAAGGAGTGAGTCCACTGGTCCATGTTCTCCTGCAGTCAGTGAGACAGATCTGAGTGTCGTCTGCATAGTTGTGATAGGACACTTTGTTTCTGCGTATTAACTGACCTAACGGCAGCATGTAGAGATTGAACAGAAGAGGTCCCAGGATCGACCCCTGTGGTTCTCCACAGGTCAGGGCCATATGATCTGAGACACAGTTTCCAATCTCCACAAAGTACTTCCTGTCTTCAAGGTAAGACCTAAACCAACTTAGGGCGGTGCCAGCGACGCCAACCCAGTCCTCTAGTCTCTGTAAGAGGATCTCATGGTCGACAGTGTCAAAGGCAGCACTTAGATCTAACAAGATTAAGATTGAGACTTTGCCTGCGTTAGTGTTCAGCCGGATATCGTTTGTTACCTTAACGAGAGCAGTCTCAGTGCTGTGGTGGGGTCTAAAGCCGGACTGAAACATATCAAATCAGAATTACCAGTATTAGCGACAGTAAACTGAATTTTAGTATTCAGCTGTTTTCCAATTGTAGTCCAGCGTTAAGGTGCAAAATGCCATCAAAAACACCCCAAACATCACAATATTTAATTATTATTAAAAAAAAAAATTATAGCCCTCAATCAGCAGTAGTCGTCTCGGAGGACTTTACAAAGTTGTCATTTCACCAACAATAGATCAGAGAATCACACAGTTTGAACAGAGGAAATGCAATAATAAAAAACGGGGCGATGAATGACCAATGTAAAAGGTTAATTTTGTCTTCCTATTGCTCATTCTTAATCAACATCAGGATGACCAATGTTATGGTAGAGAGCGGGATGACCAATGTCCATAAAAGTCAAAAAATATTACCAAATGTTCATGATTTTTGTCAGAATTGGAATCAGAATCATTTTTAATGCCGCGTAAGGAAGTCACAGACCAGGAAATAGCTTTGGCTCTCGGTGCAACAGTCAAAGAAGAGAGGTAGAGAATAGCTAACGTATACAAATTAAAATGTATTATAATAATAAAAATTTTGTATAGTGTGTTTTGAGAAGTGTGCTTAAAGTCTTGCTCTGATGCTTTCTTTTTTTGCTGTCCACTTATTTGGAAACCTGTCTGTGAGGATGGAAATATGTGTTTTTCTTTCTATCAACCGACTTTCACTATATGTGTGGAGTTTAACGGGCGTGTTGCCGGATCTGTGCCCAGGGCTCTCACATCACGCGGTGGCCCGGCTTCTACATCCTCCAGTGGAAGTTTCACAACATGCCGTCCTGCGCCGCCACCAACCTGCCCCGAGTGGACGACGTCTTGGCCACGCTGCAGGTCTCCTCCCACAAGTGTAAAGTCATGTACTACACAGAAGTACTGGGCTCCGAGGACTTCAGGTTGGTACCTTTTCTCTATCAGAAACAAATTCAACAACATTTCATTCAATATTGATGTGTTTATTCAAATACGGCTGCAAGGTTTGGCTCGATGCAAACTGGTCACGGCAAAGACTGCAGTTTTTTAGATCCTCGGTACACTACCTAAAAAGTGTTTGAATTATTTGATTGTAGTGTCATTTGTGAAATATTCTTTAAATAAAATAGATGAAGTACATGTTATTTTTTTCAGCTGCATTTTTAATTATATGTTTTTTATTATTATCATTATTTTTAATTCTTTAAAATAATGTTTTAGTTTTTATATTAATTTACGTTCAATTTTAAAGCTTACCTAAAGAGTACCTAACTTTTCTTCTAAATCAGACAACAACTTGTGTCCATCATACATGTTATATTTTGCATGCATGCAAGGAGCCATATGAGTTTTTAAAATATAATTTAAATCTTATCAAAATTATCAAAATTATTCTGCACTACTATATCAGATTAACATTTCATATTTCAGCCTTTTGTAAATCAACAAATTACACTTTTTTTCTCCAAAATGGTGCAGCCCTATTTTCAACCACTGTTTATCATGAAGTTGCCTGTTGTCATAGCGATAAGTGATTTTCCCTGTTTATTTAAAGCACTCTTTCCTTTTGAGACCGCTCATTTTCACTGCTGTGTTCTTTCAGAGTGCCTTTAGTCGATCCCTTTCCCCCCGCACAACGTTTGACTCAATTACTATGCCAAATGTTTACATCTCAAAGGCCTCTTATAGACATCCTTTCATGGCAGTTTTTGTGAAGATGCCGTTGAGATTTCTTTATAATTAACGTTTTCTGTCCGATTTGCTTAAACCCCCCCTCCCTCCTGCTCTTTCTTCTTCCTGTTGAAGAACGGCTTGCTGCGATGTGCGAAGTTTGTAAGTGGACCGTGTTTGCCCCCCTCCTCTTCCTCTTTTAGCCCATTTTTTCTTTTTTTTTTCTTAACACACGCAGCTTTTTTTTTCAGAGCAAAGAAATGCTTTTTTTGTGTGACCGTTCACAATCGCTGATTTTGCGCACTGCCTAACAATTTATCGCGGCTGATCACTGGTTAATTACCGCCTAAACGCTAGCTTCCTTCTGCTTGCATGCGGGCTACTAAAAAACTTCATTTTAGCTAAAGAAGTCGCACAACCTGAACTCTTTACCAATCCTTCACCATCATGAGTCGTTTTCGTTTTGACACCCATTCATTCACGCCATCCAGATACTGAAATCCATCCTTCACCTGTGCATCTGTCTGACCCTAATAATGTGTGTTGAATATGGAAATATGCTTTAGTTATATAATAGTGCAGCTGCATGTATGTTAGGGGTGGGCAGTATTGGTAATGACTTATTATTGTATTTTAATATCTCGTTCCATTTTTGTAAATATGTCTTTACCAAGCACATGTGAATATAATTACTATTGAAAGATCCACTAAAGTTGTCAACAAAACCGTTTTTACCCTTGAGGTGCTAGTGTTTTTTCATAAATTTGTTATGAAACAATCCAATCTACTTGTTTTATAAAATGTGTAATATAAATAAAGTTTGCTAAATAACTAAGTAATCGCTGGACAGATATAATAGTTACACATTTAAATATGCAGATTTACCAGCTTTATATGATAAATAAAAATAGAATAACATGTAGATTCAGATTCAGACCACTTTAGTTATCCCATCCGAGGCAATTCGGCATTTAAACTTTTTTTTCCCAAAAGGGTGCAGCCCTATTTTCAACCACAGTTTATCATGAAGTTGCCTGTTGTCATAGCGATAAGTGATTTTCCCTGTTTATTTAAAGCACTCTTTCCTCCGAAATAGAACAACTAAAACATTATGTAGATTCAGATTCAGACTGCTTTAGTTATCCCACCAGGGGCAATACGGTAATGAAACTTTTTTTTTTTTCCAAAATGGTGCTGCCCTATTTTCAACCAATTCGTTTGAGCAGCACAGGGCGTCAAAACAAAACACACAAAAACACATATAAAAACACAGGAAATGTCAGACATTGTTTGTACAAAGTAAAAATAAAATATCAGAACGAACAGACAAAAGGTTAAGCTCTGTACGTTATGTAAGAGATACACGACGAGTCAAATCAATACCGGAAATCAACTAATTACAAATATAAGAAAACTGTTTGTGGGAAGCCTGGTTCCCGTGTAGAAAATCCACTTTGGTGCTAAATGGTTTCTCAACTCTAAAATAAATGCCAGATCTTCAAAGCGACATTTAAAACATGTTGGATCATCTTCCCGGCTTCAATACTCACGTGGCTTCATGTTTGACGAAGACCCAAACAGAGCATTACCCGACTAAAACTAAACAAAACAAACTAAAATATCCAGTAGTGTCATGTTATGGCATCAACAGAACAGGCTATGATTCATACAAAAGTTATTATTAATATACTTATACTTTCTTTTAAGTTTTTTAAAGGCAGCAGGATCATTAGGGAATGTCCAATGAACTTTGTGGGCTTTGTGACTTGTCTTCCTAACATCGTGTGGCGTTTGAGGGAAAGCTTGTTTGGTGTCTGCTTCCTGGGCACAGATAGATGGATATTTAGTCACACGCGGGGGTTTGCGGTTTGTAGCTTTGTCGAGGCCTGTCACGATAATGACTGTAGCAACCTGGGCTCCATTGTCTAAAGAATGATACGATTTAGTGCATTTCGGGGCTCAAATATTTATTGTCCATATATTTTCTTTGCAAAAATGCCAGATTGCTGTATGAAGAGTGGTCTGGATTCAAGAGGCCATGGAGCAATTCTGATTCTGATGCTTTTACTATCTTAAAACAATTTCAATTCAATATATCTTTGTATTTCTCTAATTCACAACAGCCATGATTCAAAAGAAATTGTTGATTCGTCAATTTTTGGGATTTTTTTGCCCTGCTTAGTATGAGACACCAGCTGTTTTGTTCCATAAGGAAATTAAAATATGCTCAAATCTAAATTAAATTGGCCTAACAAAAGTAAAACATTTTTTTTTCCTTTAGCACTATTCAATATGATAATTTATTGCGACACATCCGTAGAGAAATATTGTCGTTCAATAATGTCTATCGTGACAGGCCTCTGCAGAACTATTACATATAAAATACTGTCTATAATGAGTGTTTTAATGATGTCTCTGCTTTCTCCAGGGGATCCATGACCAGCCTGGAGTCCAGCCACAGCGGCTTCTCTCAGCTCAGCGCCGTCACCACTACGTCCAACCAATCCAAATGCAGCTCCATGATCTCCAGGTAGAAGAAGGCCTGAGGAGGACTCCAACTCCCACAATCCTCCATTCTCCGACTCGATCAACCTGTTCTACCACCTTGCATCCGTTCCTTATTGCACAGCCAGTCTCTGAAGGAACCAACGCATGCTTGCACAAAAGGAAAAAAAAATCCTCCATTTCAGAGGCGAAACAAGGAGAAACTATGTATACAAATTCAAAGGGCTCATTTTTGCACAGAGGTCATATATTTTTCGTGCCTGGCGTCCTCGTCGGGCCGCATTTGAGAAACGAAAAGCAGTATGAAGCAATATTTTCATTCGAGATCGGATGAAAACCACTGGGGGGCGCTGTTACATATGCATTTTACATGCACAGAGACTGACACAGGGCTTCCTCTACTGTACGCCACATTCGCCAACACTCACCATACTTTGTTACAGGCAGTACTTTGCTTTCTACTTTAAAGCAAAACTGCTAAACTTGGGTTGAAAACTGTAATATTACAATAACAAAAAAAACCAGTGGCCATTTTTGTCTTGTCTATGAACTCTCATGAGGCCCAGCTCTTAGCATTGTAATCTACTAGAAGCAATAAGTTTCTATATATATGTGTGAAAAAAACCATATTTATCATTAAAATATTTCTAGAGATGTATATATAAGTAAGATATTTTAAGGGTGCTTGGTTGAAGTGTGTTCATTCACGGGCGCACAGTGTAAAAAAAGTCAAAACTGAGCCTGATTTATCACGGTTTGCGTCAATCGGTGGACTTTGGAACGACGGCGGACGAGAAAGATGCCTTAATATGAATTTTTGAATGTTTTAAAAGTGTGGTTTGTTAGCGGTTTTCTAACTCCGCTTGGCACGGGTTGTGATACTGTGTGAACTGCCATTGAGCGTTACTGTTACATGACTTTACTAGAGCCACTTTTTGGGGGGAAAGATTGTTACTTTACGATAACGGGGAGTTTTGGTCGTAATACATTGATACTGTAATGGTTTCTGTTTTGGACTTTTGTTACTGTTTTTGGCGTACTTGATAGGGTGAAATGAGTGGGGATTATGAGGGCTTAGTGTGAGCAAGATGCTTGCAGCCATTTGAGAGCCATGTGTCTATACCATTTTAGCCTTTTTGTAAAATATATAGAATAGAACAAAATCTTGTCCTTTTTTTTTTTTTTACCACTGTCCAGATTGAGCTTGTACAAACTTGCATGTTAATTTCTAATATGGTTCAATTTCCAAACTGTTGCAGAGTAGTAGCACTACCTTGGTCGCAGAGAACAGGCAAATTCAAAGTATTCAGATTAAAGCTGAGGTACCTAACTTTCCTCATTTTTTTCATAATACATGTTTATCTCAACAGAAAAAAATGTTGTGAATGAATCAGATCACGACATGCCTTCATTTTTATTGGAAAACATTTCATATTTTTGCATTCTTGCCCCGTGAGTCACTTTTCGACACTTTGGGCTGAGGGCTGAGTGAGGATGGTCCTGTCTTTTTCATTTTTCTGTTTATAGATAATTTAAACATGTGTCAGAGGCCAAAACATACATGTGAAAACTAGTGACTGGGTTAGATGGATTATACATTGTCATTTTTTTTGCTTCGTTTAATAAGTTAAGTATCCCAGCTTTAAATCCTTTTCAAGCATATTATATAATATGAAGAGGTTTCCAAGTCTGTTTTGAATTTTAATTTTATTTCTGGTATATCCCATTTTGCATTACACTCCAGCCTATAAATGTCTGTTATCTCTGCTACCGTTTGAACAGATTTTAAAATACTACTTTACTAATTTGAAGACTATTCAAATGTAACTTGCTTTATATGAACATTACAATTTGAGGGCTTCTGTGTGAGTGATGAGGTTGAATGTTGTAAACAGCAGGAGAAACGCCTGCATTTTGTGAACAATGTTGTATATGTTCAAAAGAGAATGCAGAATTAACTCTGGGGCATGTCTAAATACACAGGATTGATCTGTCTGTATCGCTATCTTCAGAATATGTCTATTTCAAGATTAGCTGCACCGATTCTGTCTTTGATTTCAATTTTTATCATCAAAAAATAGGGCGATTTTCAGCACATTGATTGAATTTTACCTTTGAGTCTAAAGATGCATTGCGGAACTTTTTGTATGAATTTCACTACCTGCTTGTTGCCATAGGGATGTTGCATATAAAAAACATGTACATTTTTTCAACACTGATATTTTTACTGCTCAACAACCTGAGTTCTTACATTGGGTCGACTCACAGATATAACTTAGCAACTTAGCATAGTGAAGTGTCTTGCTTAGTTTAGTAAGTAAGTAGTTAGTAATATTTTCAACTTTGGTGTATCGGTGATTTTCATTTTCCAAGCGAGACCGAAGATCTGGTACAACAAAACCGGCTCCTACCGTTCACTCTATCATTGCATTCATTCAGTTTCTAGGTGTTTTTAGTGGTAGGGAAAACCGGAGCACCCGGAGGAAACCTGCACAGACACAGGGAGAACATGCAAACTCCACACAAAAACGCATGGAGATGGAACCCAGAACCATACTGTGGAACATCCCAGGCAAAACATGCCATGCACATTTTCAATAGGGCTGTAACAATTAATAAATTTATTGAAACTAAAAATAATAATTGATGACTGATGACTCAATAGACTGATTTTAACACATGTTTATGCCATAAAATGTGATTTTAAACTCAAACATAACTACAAAAAAATGAATTGGAGATTTTGGTAATACCTTTTATGATTCTATTCTATTATGAGAAGAATCATTTGAAAGAATCATTGCTATAGTAAGGTATATTGGAGGATTATCCCAAATTTTAGGAAAGAACCGCCCTCTCCACTTTTTGAACAAAACTCTGGTCTTATTTGATGAGCGCGTATCACCAGAATGATTGACAATTAGAAGGACCAATAGTCTTGATGATCCACCCAGCAGTAGAAAATCATATACCTTTTATTATGAAAATAGTTGTTAGTTGCAGCCCTAATTAAGATTAACCCAGGAAAAAAGCGGAGCCTACAGAAAAGTCGCCCAGTGCAGCTTTAAGTCTACTACAACTGGATCATTGTCAATACTCACAGACGAGGGCTATAACTGGTGTCTGTTTGTCTTTCTGCTTCTGAACATCTTTGCATATCTTTACCTTGATGTAATGAACTGTGTAAAATACAGTACTTGTCTTGAATAAATAATAAAATGGCGCCTTCACATTTTTGAAAATATTAAACTTGAGCTATGATAAAGACATTGTCTACTGTCTCTTGTTTTTTTTTTATTGTAAGACAACAACAAAAAATCTTAGAAAAAATTTCTTATTTCCTTTTAATTCTTTGTTTTTAGGGTTCTGTTTAATGTCAGTTGATCCCATAAACTTCACTTTAACATATACACAACATAAAAATGATTTTTTTTTCATCAGACAATAGATAAAAATCAAGATCAGAATCCTGAAACTAGGTTAAAAAAAACAAGTTATAACATAAAAATAAATAAAACATACTTTTATGTCCGTTCAAATCAAACTTTCTGGGATGAACCAGGACCAGTTTGAACTCCAAACTAACAAATTAGTGCAAAAAAAAAACAAAAAAAGTATAGATCTGACCATTGTTTATCTATTTCATTTTGCAGTATAGGAGGATCTTTGTTTACAGTCTATGGTTTACACCCGCGTGCGTATGTGTGTCAAGAATATAGTATAGTGCTGAGTTTCTGCTTCATACCTTTTCCCCCACTGATTTATGTGACTCGGTTTACTTGATTATTTAAAAAAAATATTTACACGAATCCACACATTAATACATATCAAAGATCTTAAAAATAATAAAACGCCAACAAAAAGTTCGCGTGTCTCCCCCACAAGAGGGCAGCATTAACGCTACATCACACCAACCTGACACTCCGGCTAAACCGAAGTTTATCTATCATGTTCTTCTCTGTGAAACATTAATTCTATGATTAAACCTAAATTGCATTCAAAAAGGTTAATAGTTATAGTTTGTATTAATCGTGTATCTCACTTGACTACACATTGTGTTACTCTTTCATAAAGGTAAATCAAAAGAATAAGATTTCGGATGCAACCACTCGTTTTCTGACGTCAGAACCCGGAAAAACACAGACTCGTGCTCATGGATCTGTTAACAGGGTGCTATCGGCTTTTTGTTTCTTTTAATGATTTCTAACCTAATTTTATTCCATAAATCAGATTTCTAGAATGACACAGATGTCTGCTCCTCTCGCAGAAGACCAGATGAAAGAATGGAGCAGGTAACAGCGAAGAGTCGTTATAACAGTGTAACGTAAAGTAAAGTTTAACCGTCCGGCGGTTGTATGATTAACGTCTATGCGAAGACGTTGAGCACAACTTTGAACGATAACTAGCTAGCTCAATTGCTGCTGGATGCCATGATTACAGGAGGACGTTCCCATATTTTAAGGAAAGAAACGCCCTCTCCACTTTTTGATCAAAACTCTCTGGTCTTATTTGAAGAGCACCAGTATCATCAATCAAGGCAATCTTGATAATCCACCCGGAAGTTAAAAATCCTCCTATCCTCTTAAGTTGATACTAAAACTTATAACGCTAGGTATATAGGAGGATTTTCTTTTTCTGGTTGGATCGTCAAGACTATTGGTCCTCCTGATAGTCAATCATTCTGATGATATGTGACTCATCAAACAAGATGTGGAGAGGGCGGTTATTCCCTAAAATTTGGGGAAATCCTTATTTATACTTTATAATGGAAACGCAGAGCAGAATAGAGTGGGGCTGGTGGAAACAAGGCTTTAGAGTAGATGCATTTTAGTTTATTGAGACAAAAACCCTAAAACACAATAATCTTGTTATTTGGGCCTTATTGCTATTTTGTGAAGCTATGAAGTTTTATCTGTAGACAATTCTGCAAATGGCAAAACATACTGCTAATAATGATAATGATGCAGCATGACCATATTGTGGAATCTCCAGCTCTTGACGTTGGCCTTGTTGGGCTCCATACGGCTCTGGCAGATGTCTCCTCTCAATTGTCCCAGTGCTGCTGTAACTCTGTGTCTCTGGACTGGTGCCACTAGAAACTATTGATTTGCGAGATTGTGATGAAGAGGCAATGACTCTGTGTTATTGTCCATATGCTGACTGTCATCTGTGCCCAGTGCTGACATGTGTGAGAGGAGCAGTGATGGCATTGCAGATGGAGCAAAAAGTACTTTGTGATCCTGGCAATTATAGGAAAAACGTTACAAGATTGTTAAAAGGTAAAAGATGGTCTGAAAGGTCTCGATTTTGGTACTTCACCAATTTTTACACCATGGACAATTAGCTGTACAACATAATAGGACCTAGTTTTTATGGTACTAGAAGGTTTTAGTTCTGATATTGATCAACATACAATGTTCTTTTTTGTAGGACCCATCTCCAGACAGGACTACCATGTTGGATTGCTTGTTTTAGGGTCTGACACATTCCTTCTGCTTGTGTGCAGTGAGCAGAGCCGTCTGCGTGGCCTGGTGATACAACACGACACAGAGCCGTGGCAGCAGGATCCACATTTCTCAGGACTGAAGCGAGTCGCTGGAGTCGACTTGTCCTTCATCAAAGGGGATGATGCAAGTGCATGTGCACAGCTGGTGGTTCTCAGCTACCCACAACTAGAGGTAATATGTGCTGTTATATAATTACAACACTGTATATTGGTGTTAGAGAAACTGTGTTGGTTTGAATTGTAACAGACAACACTAACGGAAAGTACAACAACATTTAGAACATAGGTGTCTAACACAAGGCCAGACCATTTTTAGTGGAACCTGAAATGGGTTAGTTAGTATGAGGCTGCGTATACTATATGAAGTATTTTAAATGTAAGTTAATTTTCTCAAGAAAACAACCTAATTTATCATATTCTATAACTTGAACCCAATTCATAATCAGAAAGTGTTAATGTACATTTACAACTTCATGAGCCTACAGTGCTGTACACTCTTCCAGGGATAAAACAGTAATATTCATAAAACACAGTATAAAAAAGAAAAAAGAAAATGCAGAAATCTTAGAACATGAGAGGACGTCTAGTCGAGTGTTGTTGTTGAGTCTCATGTTATACTGTTGATTGTCGCTTTTCGCCTGGAGAGGACCAGGGCCAAGAGCGACTAAAGAAGTACCTGGTTAGATAGGGAAAGCTGCCATTTGGGGGTAGAGCAGAGCCGAGTAGTATATAGAAGGGCAGGTGGAAACGGGGCTGTAGACACACAAGGGACAATACTGCATGATGACCACGTACCGTCAAAGTTTGGGCTTTTACATGTGCTGCTCTTTCCTATATATTATTATTATTATTATTGTTATTAATCTTTATTAAGGACACAATACAACATGGTCCATAGTTAAAAGACAATATCCAATACACACAGTGTATTGGATATTGAAATATACTGTGTATTACATGATTATATAAAGTTGTCCTGAACATATTTATTTGGCTCTAGATTGATGATACACTTGCCGTATTCTAATCTAAAGTGATTCCCTGAGGAGCTGTATCCAAATTAGGGGTGGGAACCTAAGGGTACCTCACGATACGATATGATACACAGCTCACGATAACGATAATATCACGATAACGATATCACGATAACGATTTTATCACGATTTGACGATTATTGATATATTGGTTATAAAAATACAATATGCCAATTGATGGCATAAATAAAATAAAAAAACTCTTTATTTCATGATAAATAGAATGGAGATGCGTAATGTAGCCATATATTAAGTATTGATACCAATTTAAAAAAAAAAAAAAACTTTTTTTTTTTTTTTTTCAAAATTGATATCGATACTTGGTAAATGCATATCAATAATCGAATCGCGGGAGAAAGTCACACCCCTAATCCAAATTATACATATCCAATTTCCTTGTTTATTACTTGCGTATCATATTACACAAAATATTCGATTCTCCTAAGTAGAATAAGCACCCCCTCAGGGTCAAATCCCCCTCATGGTTCGTCTCCATAGTCACCGTTAACCCCAGAAGCCTTCATATTTCTATCCCACTTGTAACCGGACTTCACCAAACCTCATATTCTCTTCTATTTCTTACATTAAAGCCTTTGGCCCCTTCTGCTTATGTAATAACTCAAAACAAATGGGTTTTGTCAGGGCACCGCAGCGACACATGCTCCAACAAGGCTAATGAAATGTTTGGAAACGCTGTCCAATAATATGATTACGTTCTCCGCTTGCGTTCAATTTACTCTCAACACTGCCACCTCAGGCTATTCGGCACAATAATGGTCCGACCGTAATGTAGTGTAGTGTGTTTGAATGGCTTTGAAAATGAAAAGAATAAAGGTTTTCTGTCATCTATATGGGCCTGCACCTATGCTCTTGTTTGCGTCACACGATATTACATTACTAAAACCATTTGGCCTGGTTATACCGCAAGGCAAGAAAGTAGCTCAGTAATAAATGCTTGTTACTTCAGGTGAGCTTGAGTTGTGTTGTGTTTGGCAGGTTTTGTACGAGGACAGTCAGATGGTGGCTCTCACTGCTCCCTACATCACGGGATTCCTGGCTTTTAGAGAAACGCCATTTCTACTGGAGGCTCTGAAGAGGCTGCAAGAAAACAAACCAGGGCTTATGCCTCAGGTGGTTCTTTTATAGATACAGTATATATGACCAATGTTGGGCATGTTACTTTGAAAAAGTAATTAGTTACAGTTACTAGTTACTTCTCCCAAAAAGTAACTGAGTTACTCCACTGTAAAAGTAACTAGTTACCAATAAAAGTAATTATTGCGTTATCTTTTAGCTTTGTTCTGGATCATACCTTTAACCTCAGTGAGTTTGAAATAGTGACGATATTTCCATCTGGAAAAGGCTGTTTTGCTGCTGGAGTCTTCCTCACTCTCCATCTCTCTCTGTGTGCTGTAAACACTAAACACCCGCCACTGGGAATGTGGAAACACCCACCTACCCAGATTTTCTGATTGGCTAAAGACCTAATCTTACTATACATCAGCCAATATGTCACAGAACAATGTCACTTTACTTATATACTTTTTATCCTGCACTATTTAACTGTACAGTATATAACTGCACTACTACATATATCTTTTGACTGGTATTGAAGCATTTTCAGCATCTACAGCTAGTTATGTTAGCTAAGAAACATAGCTACTACTTTTTTGTGTATATTGTGTGTGCTCCCTGTGTGCTCTTACTACTGTCCTATATGTGCGCTGCAACATCGAAATTTCCCCACTGTGGGACGGATAAAGGAATTCTTATCTTATCTTATCTTATCTTATATACGTATAACATATGGATATTTTTGAAACAAGACAAGGCAACTTTATTTGTGTAGCACATCTCAAACACAGTGCAACTGCAAGAAAGGAAACATTAAAATCATGAAACAAGTAAAAGCATTAGTAAAACAATTACATTCTGAATCTAACATGGTTGTAATGAATATTGCCGATTTAAAGAACAACATGTAACTGAAGAATTTATCAAAACTAATGAAGATCAGAGTTTATATTTGATTCTGTAGTGTGTTTGAAAACTGAGCTTTTAGACAGATGGGGAGGGGGGACTTAGGCCAAAAAGAACTTTAAGTCTGTGTTTGAGAAGCTTGGTAAAAAGCTCTACCCTAAATACTATTTTGCACATACTTAGTCAGATTTAAAACATATATTTAAATCATAATGTCCTATCAGTCATTATTACCATTTCCTAATAGATAGATTGTAATAAAAATAATAATGTATTTTATTTATATTGCACCTTACACTTCCAGGAAACCTCAAAAGATTGTGTAGGAACAGTTTGTGCACTGGAGCTGTCTTTATGATTCACTGTGGAATATTCCAAGAAAAACAATAACATTTTAATGGATACAAACAGTTAGTATTATTTCATGAACTAGATGCTCCTAATACAGTTAATATGTCTGTTTGTACCTTTTTATATAGAATTTATTTTCAACTAATCATGTAAATAATCTTGTTTTTACTGAAGGTGGTGTTTGTGGATGGGAATGGTCTTCTCCATTATCGAGGTTTGTATTTTTAAAACCTGTTCCTCCCATCCATTTAGTTTTTTTTTCCTTCTTATAGTTCTCATTTTCTCTGTTTAGAAAATGTGTGGAGATGTTAAAAAAAATCACATTGTAAAAACGTTACATTTGCTTTTTCTTTAACAGAGTTTGGTATTGCCTGCCATCTGGGCGTGTTGTCAGGGTTACCGTGTGTGGGCGTGGCCAAAAACTTGCTGAACGTGGAGGGCTTGGCCAAGAACGAGGAGCACCGATCTAAGGTCACTATTACATCATCTCTGAATCACTATTTTACACTTTGTCCTATCTTGCACGTGTTAAAATGGTTTTATAGGGATTAGCTAATGCTAATAGAAACACCCATCTGTGTGGATTTTGCATGTTCCCCGTGTCTTAGTTGTTTTCCTCCAACTCCAGTGTGAAGTGAAGAGAAAATATCATACCAACAAATAAAACTGTTGTCACACTCTTTTAACCTGCTGGTCTGAGAGAAAAAAACGCAAAATGAATAAAAAATTATACTTTTATCCTGCATGGGACTTAGAGGGAAGAAGATGCTATATGTTAGCATTAGCTAATTCTTATTCTGGGTCCACCCCCATCGGCCCGGGGTGGTACTGCAAGCTTGTCAGCGCACATCATTTTGGCCACTTTTGAGCCGAGACCCACCCCCACTGGTTTAGACACATAACAGTGCCATGCTACAGGCGAGTTCGATTAGCTTCGTGTTTGGGTGGGAAAGTGTTCGACCTGTATGAGTTAAACATGTGCACGTTATCACTATTGTTAGTAACTTTTTGAATTGTATTTGATGAATGGATGTATTTCTGCTGCTGGACATGTGAATTTCTCATACAAGTATCTATCTATCTATCTATCTAAAATACTGGTAGCCTAACTTTTGTGCAGTAATCAGTGGGGGCGGGTCCCAGCTCCAAAAAGTCCATGAGCACGGGCGCTGACATACTTGCAATCTCACTCCAGGCCGGTGGGGGTGTACCCAGAAAGAGAATTACCCAATGCTTTTGTATGACGTCTTCTTGCCTCTCAAAAACGTCTTTACAGGATGGTCCAAAAGTCAGCTCTTGGTTCCACATGTGTGTCAATGCTGAGGGGAGTATATTTTTTTGGACCATTCTAGTTTAGCCACTGTGGACTTTACAAGGCACTGGTCAATGGAATGGGATTTCAATATTTTCCTTCCTCGCGGCCATTTCGAAAGTGGTGGCATTTTAGTTTCAACAGCGGAGATAGGCGTGACCATGTTAATATTTACAGTCAATGGCAGTAACCAACACCAACAGGAGTGTGTGTTCAAAAATAAGAAATTATATATGGTTGTATTGTTGACTTGGCTCCAGAGGAAGAAAAACTTAAATACGAGCCTGCTGTCGCCTTTGCCTCTGCGTTCTCTCTTTTATTTGATTTAATGTCTGATGATGACAGAAGGGCGAAGAGGGCAACATCTCCAAGTGTTTGCGAATGTCTTTAATCCCTGAACATATTGCTTTTTTGAGGAGCTGTTCTTTCTCGCTGTGACTTTTACTGCAAGCCAAGGCCTCGCTGAGCAACTAATGATCCTGTGGTTTGCTGAATACAAATGGGCTGCAAACAAATACCTGTTGGTTAAAGCACACCTCCGGGAGAAGAGGAATATTATTTGGCTTTCATTAATATGCAAATGTTGACTTTGTTTTAGTCTGGCGCCTCGGTGACCTGTAAGAGGGAAATTAGTTACATAGGAGTGCGGCTGGTGTTGTGCAAGCGTCTGGGTCCTGAATTGAAAAGCAATGAATAGTATATTTTTGGTTGTGATTGTGTTAAAGAGTATAGGCGTAAGTTTGTGCATAGGTAAAATCAATGAGGATGCAAAGTCCTTAAAGTCTTGCTTTCGAATCATAGAAGAATAACATTAGAAGGAATTCTAAGGGCGATGTCAGCAACTTAAATTGTATATTGTTTTTAAAAGATTGTGTACTTTTGGCCATGGGACACTTTGATTCAGATTCAGATTCATTTGTAAAACCACATTGGAATACATTTTAAAAGTCCCAGTGTGCACCAGAGAAGTACATGAATAAAACAAGGTATTTTTTGACAATAATATATTTAAGACAGTCCTTCCTCTTGGCATCACTGCACTAGTAAGATCTACTAAAGGAGAATACTTAAACCAATGATGTGCAGCCTCGAGAATTTTTATATATTTCGTCCAATCGGGAAATGCTGGGATGAAGTCCGACCACGGGTTGCTTTAAAAAAGTTTCACTCTCTCTTTCAAGTCGCTTTAAAAGACGCCAAAGCACTGCTATGTGAAGAAGTCTTTTTTTAAGTTTTCCACAATAATTTTGTTGTTATTAAGTAAATTAAACTGAACTTGAGCTAATGTTGAATTTACCCTAACAAAGATATAATTATAGATTGCATTATTATAAAGGGATCAAGAATGTAATTGATTTCCTCGGTTTATCAGTAAGACTAGAGTTGGAAGTTTATAGACTATAATTCATATACAAAAGTGTGATAATTAATAGAAGATTATATTATCAAGCAATCTGTTTACAGTCCTTTTTTATACACAGACAAGTTTTAAACAGACAGTTTGTTTTTATATTTGGTATCAACTTTAGAGCAGATGATGCAACTGAGTCACCAAAGAGATTAATATAACAGTTTCATAAACAGCTTATGAAAGACGGAGGTCAAAAGGTTTAGATAAACAACGCAGAATTATCTTTTTCACTTAATTCAAACATTGTAAAATTATAACTTCTGCACTACACAGCAGTGATTTTGTGTATTTTGACTTTGACATCACCTTTGGCACTTTGTCTTGATATAACGTATTGGTCTATTATTGACGATATTTACATATATCCACCACTGAGGCCAAATATTTGTAATGATTTGAGGGCCTAACTTTTCGTTTATAATTGGAGAAAAGTTGAATATCTTTCCTATTCTTTCTCCATGGGAGGACCTGCCATCCACTTCACAAACTAAATTGTACATCCACACTTAATACGCCTTTATTACCCCACAGGACGCTGACGTGAGTGGGAGACGTCACACTGTTGCATTATTGTATTAACTTTTAATCTGATGATTCACCCAAAGTTCAATGCCAAAGTTACAGAAGAGGTTACGTAGATTCAGCCGCCACAAGCCTTATTCAAATGGCTCTCCTCGCACAACCCTGTGTTTAACATATTGTATCAACTATGAAATCTAGTTCCCTGTATACTTTTGCCCCAATTAGTGTGAGGCTTTTGATGTCACATAATTTACCTCTTTATCTTTTGTGGACCATCATTTTGAATGTTTATAACAACTTAGTTTATAATATTAGCATTATAATAGAACAGTTTAGACTCAGCCCTGCTATATATAAATCTGGCTTTGCTTTGCATTTCTTACCCTACAACTAGTCTAAACCTCATTAATAATAATAATGCATTGGTTTTATATTGGGTTTTTCAGGACACTCAAAGACGCCTCACATGTCCTTATTCTTTCACTCCATACATGGTGGTGATAAACTACTGCTGTAGCCACAGCTGCCCTGGGGCACACTGACAGAAGTGAGGCAACCATTATGTGCCATCGGCCCCTCTGACCACCTTCAGCCTTTCACACACACCAGACTCATTCTCATTTCATTTTCATTTTCGTTAAAGTCATTACTAAGTGTTAGATCTTAGTCTTATCCATATGTCAGTATGTAAAATATGGATTATTTATATGGACAATGAAAATATAGTATAGAGGTAGCCGTGAATTACATACAAAAAAACATACACTACAGGATTAAAACATTTGACATTTAAACGCCAAATGATGATGACTGACATAAGGTCGTCGTGTCCTTGGCAAGACACTTAACCTCTGGGAACACCAGCCACAGTGGGGCGGCTGCGGCTGTAAAGTGCCAAACTGCCGTTGTGTCCTTAGGCAAGACACTTCACCCCCATTGCCTAGAATGAGTCTGGTGTGTGTGAATGGTTGGTGGTGGTCGGAGGGGCCGATGGCACATACTGGTTGCCTCGCTTCTGTCAGTGTGCCCCAGGGCAGCTGTGGCTACAGTAGTAGTTTATCACCACCGTGTGTGGAGTGAATGAATAATGACACATGTGAAGCGTCTTTGAGTGTCCAGAAAAGCGCTATATAAAACCGATGCATCAGTATTATTATTATTATTATAAGCTACTTTGTTTTTGTAACCTTGTCCTTTTTTTGAATGCCTTTTTTTATGTCAAAAAATAAAATAAAAAATTGTATGACCGAATAAAACTACTACTACTACTAAATGTATAATATTGTGCAGCGTGAAACGCACATAACTCGACGCAGGCTTTTTGGTTATGGAAACATGACAGTGTTATGAATGCACAAAATACAGTTTATTCAGTTAGTTTGATCCTTGCTTTCATTTAATATTTTCTCATTTATTTTCTGAGTTGGGACAATGCACCTTCATCAACTTTGATGCCTTTAGTGAAAATGTGCTGGACTTAGCATAACTGCTACATTTCAGCCGTAGTCCCAAGGCAGGTTCAAAGATAATAGACACAAAAGACCTTGCAACGAGAAATCATACATTGAGGAATTACAAAACAGAACACAGAGGGACAATATCAAGGCGACGCAGACACAGACACAAAACAATCTATTCTTGTAATGTATTTTTTTATATATGTATTTTACTTTTCCTTCTGTCCTTCATTGTGCTTGACTTCCACTCTCGGACCTCTCCTCTGAGCCTCCTCTGGCCGTTAGCTGTAATCCATCACACAGAAGCAGACAAGCCATTCATCATCATGGCTAAGCTTCTCTTCACTGCTCTGGCCCATAACCCACAATGCACCTGTCACAGCGTCACTGACTTTGTGTTGTCTTTATCAGAACTTTACAGGATTAAGACGAGAAATAAAGTGGATTAAAACTTTAGGGCGCTGGCATCTTTTGGACAAATGCATGATATTAATGTTGAAGTGACAAGATTCAACATTAATACTAACTAACTGTGTTATATCCAAATACACACAATTCCTTTACCTTTTCAAAATTTGACCAGACAAGGTTCAATCCCCAATAGGAGGAATTATATTAGTAAGGTTGCCAGAATATAATGCTTTAAACTACTCTCTCAAAAGTCATATAAATTGTTTATTTATTTTACTTTTTTTTTTTTGCCCCTAGAGATGAAACAGCTTGTTTCATCTCTTATAGTAAGGCAGACAAAATAACAGAATTCATTGAAAACTATACAAAAGACAGAACACACACACTCACATGTTCGATTAGGGGTTACCAAACTTTTTACTCCTGGACCTTGCAAAAAATGGCACAAACCTAACTTGCGACCCACACTAAATAATTATATTGTAAGTGCCAATATATTCACAGCGTCAAAATCTGTTTTATTGACTGTCAAGTTGCTGTTGCTGTTTTAGTCTTAAAATACAGTGTTTATTAATTAAATGATTGACTAAGTAGAATTGTTTTAATAATTACATTCCAAATAAAAAATTCAATTCAACTTCAACAGACTGAGTCCAAAAAACATACAAACAAGACAAAAAACAACAAACAGTTATGACTTTAAAAGACCATACCATACCAAAAATGATCTCATCACCCCTATAGTTTAAGCCCTGACCCTCAAATTGGGAACCCCTGCATCCGACATTATTAGGATAGAATCTCGGTTTAGACCTGTTAAAGTCCTTGTCGGGCACTGAACCTTAGCCACTACATTTTCACAAAGATCACATTAATAAACACGGCAAATTGATAAATCAATGTGTAGCTTTAAAAGGTTATAAATGAGTTTGAGGCGGTCGGTAGGTGATCACAGAGGGACTGTTATTTCTCGAATTGATTCAGACAAACAAGAAGCTGGTGTTTGTAATCAGCTACGGGTCACAGTGGACAGGGTTTCGCTGAGAGGGGATTGAAGGCCTTAATTTGCTCTTTAAACTGACAACAATTATCTCATTTGTTTAGCTCTGCGCCTTATAAAGTTAATTAAGGTGGGTGAAAATCTCATTTGCTGCGGCGCATGTTAATTAAATTTTGTTTGTCTTGTTATATCAAGACAGAAGTTATTTTGGGGATGTTTTCTTTGTTTTACAAAATATTATGTTAAGAAGAAAGACTTTTTGGATGTTAAAAATTATAGGGATTCTTTGGAAAGTCGAAGGATTTTGTAGAGTTTCCAAGATTGCAGGGAAGTGGCGTGAGACAGGAGACTTTAGACAGAAAGGGTGGACGTACATGTTTGTGCCAAAAGTTCCTGTTATACCGTAAGCATGGATGGATCTAAAAACAACTCCAGGCCTGTGTTTAGAGGGAACAATGTTAACATGTGGCGGCACGGTGGCTGAGTGGATAGCACTCTCGCCTCTCAGCAAGAAGGTCCTGGGTTCGAATTCCGGTCGGACCAGGGCCTTTCTGAGTGGAGTTTGCATGTTCTCCCCGTGTCTGCGTAGGTTTCCTCCGGGTACTCCGGTTTCCCCTACCACTAAAAATATGTCCAATAGTTCTGGCATGCGCTTCCTGTACTGGCGACCCCGCTCCCATCTCTGTGTGGAGTGAGAGACAAATGCCCAAAATTAACAATTGTAAACTGCTTTGAGACTCAGATCTGCAGTGAAAAGGCGGTATATAAATAAAAAACGTACTAACTTACTATTACATGTTTTATGTGTTACCTTGTTATCTTATCTCGTGGCCATACTTTTTGCGAAAGCCGGATCCCGTCCCGCCCCGGGACAGCTGTGGCTACAGTAGTAGTGTATTATTATTATTATTATTATCTTATCTTAACATATATTTAACCTGCCTTGGTGACGTGTTGTTACTTCGTGAATAGCTACAAGGTAATACTAACTTGATTTTCGAAAGAACCACAATAAGATTTTTACTCAACGCGACCAATTTCAACTTTTTGAATTGGAACAATGTTGTAACATGGTTAAAGGAATCAAAAAAGCCGATTTTGCACAATGTGTCAACACTACATTATAACTTTTCATCCCTTCCAACGCTACATATGCACTTTCTCTGCTCGGTCGACTGGACTACACTTTTGATACGTAATTGCCGCTGTTTTTCATGATTGAATATAAACAGACAAGAGTATATGCCTCTGAAGTGTCCTCAAAGGATTTTAAGTTTTTGCTTCGGTTGACTTTGATATTTCTCACTCTCTCTCTCTCTTTTCGCTCACTTAGATCGCTGCTCTGCAAAAAGGAGGAGACAGCTTCCCTCTCACAACCTCCTCGGGCAAAGTGCTTGGAAAGGTAAAACAAAGGGCAACAAATCAAACGTACATATTCAACGCTGGGAGTTGAGCTGCATGCTGACAACACACTATGTCCACTCTTGTTTCCTCAAGGCATTACGCAGCTGGGATAAGAGTTCCAAGCCCGTTTACGTTTCCATCGGACATAAGATCAGCCTTGACACAGCGGTGAAGCTCACACACAGCTGCTGCCGCTATAGAGTGCCCGAGCCAATCAGACAGGTACTATACACCCACAGAGCAAAACCTGCAGTACACATATGGCTGGAGTGTGGTTTTAGTGAGAGGGCCACTTTAGTATAGTACAGGGGTCTCCAACCTGTGGCTTGGGAGCTACCAGTATACTATCTATGTAGGGATACTGTACGGTGTAATGGTATGTGTATGTGTGTTCTCCAGGATTGGCTGTCGTTATCATACAGACTACAATTGTATTTTGACTGCTAAAAAAGTTGCTCTCTGCCTATTAAAAAGGTTGGAGACCCCTTGTATACTATATATTTTAAAATATTCGATCCCCACCTCTACACCTTCTCCACTGACTCCCACTGATGACTGCTGTCGTTGTGTCCTTGGGCAAGACACTTAACCCCACTTTGCCCAAAGCCCCCACTGAAAGATCAAGGCTATGCTCACACTCAGAGCAGCCGTCCTCCTGTGGACTCACCACCTGCAGAGGGTCAGTGAGGGGCTGGTGCTATGAGACTTGGGTGGCATCTCTGACTGTCACCCCCCTGACCCAGAAATGGATTAAAGGGTAGAAAATGGATGGATGGATGGATGGATCCCTAAGCGTCACTGTTATGTTTCACGAGAAACACAGTCATAGTCCATTATATTCCAGATAATTTTTTATTATGCTAAAGATTTAAATTTTATACTGCTTCTTTTTATGCTAGAGTTAGATATTCTTTTTTATTTTAGTTTAGTATAGAGTTATTATTCACTTGTGCTGTGTGCTCCTCATTCCTACTGTCTGTAACTTGTGATGCAACACTGAAATTTCCCCACTGTGGCACGAATAAAGGATATATCTTAATCTTAATCCTCGTGGCAAGAGTGCAACACTGAATCGGGTTCATCATTGTTCTCGATCAAACCAAATGTAGTGAGAGGAGTTTGGGTAGTGACTCCTGTCTTGACTCCTCACTGCTGAGTGGAACCATGCTTCTTGGCAGATGTCTGTGCTCTACGAGTGATTTTCTACTCGTTAATACTATGTCATGCTTGAGCCTTAACATATGCCATCAGCTTTTCTATACCCACTTCAGTGTAACTTTAAGAAGTGTGACAAAATCCAAATTGTGAGAGTAATTTTTGGTTTATTATAGTGCTACTACTTAGTTGTAGGTGAGTAATGTAATGATATGGATGTTTTGAGTGTGAGAATTGGATGATTATAGATTACAATGTATTCCTCCTCTTGACTAAATAGTGTTCATTAGATTTCTCTGTAAAGTGCTCTTTTATTGCTCATCTCATTCAATATTAATAGATGTAAAGTTGTTCTTTTTTCTGTAAAGTCCTCTGTAATCTGTCCAGTGGATGTTTTGAGTATGGACAAAGAGTATGAGAATGAATCATGATCTCTTTACAATTGGTTTCAAGAGAATTTCTGTTTTATGCTTTTATTGTTTAATTATATATGACAATTACTGTGATGTTTTTTCTATTCTGTCTTTTACTTTGTTTGTTTGCGTCATAAATTATGTGAGAATTTGGATAAAATTGTTAGAAAGACCCAAAATCATGAACATTTTGAAGAATATCCAACTCACTTTGTGAATGCATGAATTTCTTAATATATAATATTATTTCTGCTTGCTCCCTCTGCCCTGCTCTGACTGGGGCATGGCCTTAACCGCGGCCTCTGTAGAGAAAGCGCTTAGAAGAAAGTTACTTGAGTGAAACTGCTTTGTCCGTGTTCTGCGACACCGCAGAGGGACGACACAGTCTCTTCATTAAAATTAACCTTGAAGGCCTTGAAGCTTTCGCGCGATACTACCCCGCATGGACAGCAGCGCTCATATGGCCGAAGCTGCAGAATTCTACTGCTTTTCTACTTGTAAATACTATGTCATGCTCGAACCTTAAAGGAGCAGTATGTACAAATCTGGCCAAAAGTGATACTGCAACCTCTCCCACTCTTCCTGACTCAGGTCGCCAGATATGCAGACGAATCCAGCTGAGACCATAACATTTAAATAGACAAGAGTTTTGTCAACAACAAATCTATAACCAACACCTTTTTCCTTGTTTTCGTCCTGTTTTGTCATTAATGATTTGAGAATCATAACGAGACCTTTTTAGTCCTGCGGCCACATTTACCAGTGAGATTAGCTCGATGCTGTGAGTTCTGGCAACCCTGGATCACGGACTTTCTGATTGGTAAAGCAGTGGAGGGCGGGACATCGAAATGAAAACAATAACAAGATTTAGGGGCTGTAAAACTAATTTTGAAATTTGCATATCTCGGCTGAACTACTGTTATCAGTTAAAGAAGTATTAGCAAGAGCATGGTTTATTAATGCATTTTAACATATGCCACCTACTTTTCTACTCATTTTTTGTGATGCACTTTCTCTGTGAAGTTTAGAGTAGGTTTAAGAAGTGTGACAAAATCCAATTCGCAAGGCTCTAATTTTTGGTTTTCTATTACTATTTGGTTTGAGTAGTTGTAGTGTAATGTAGAGTAATGGTATGACATACAGTGGATGTTTTGAGTAAAAAAAATGGGTGATTATGTACTACAATGTATCTTTCCCTTTTATCAACCAGGGTTAATTAGATTTCTCTGTAAAACGCTCTTTTATTGCCCATCTCATTCAATATTGATAGAGGTAAAGTTGTTATTTTTTACTAACGTGTCTGGGGCAAGAAGCTGTGGCACTTTTAGTTCCCAATAAAGTGAATTGAACAGTTGCCCGGTGAAGACCTCAGAGATTTGGTTTTATAGTTAGTTTCTCGTCTTGTGTTTGCTGCAGCACTACTGTGACCCATTAGCACATAAGAGTGCATAGAAAATTAATAACACCACTGCAACTTTCATGAGGGCTGTCTGACGAGAGATATCTACCATTTTACGTGTGCTTTTAAAAAAAAAAAAGTTTGATCATAAAAAGTGTCAAAGCCTCGCCCCGTCGAAGGAGGAGGAAGTTCTTCAAGTAAATGGCCCGCTACTCTATATGAATTATTTAAAGGTGCGCAATGTAACTTTTATGCTGCAGGGTCCATCATCTGCTTGTCTCCATGGGGATGTAAGTGCTTTGCCAGGAATGTCCCACAAAGTGACCTTAAACCTGTCTCCATGTAACAAGTCAGATCAGTGAATATGAGCCCATTCAGAGTATATCCCTTTACTACTAGAATAAGTTGTAATCCTCTTGTAAGCTATAAAAATATAGAATCAGCTACTTTAGCAGTCAGTGGTGTGAGTTGTTTTATTTGACCAGCTGCGATATTAAATTAGATTTAATTAATTATTGTATAGCTTTTATTCACAACAGTAATAACTACTGTTGTGATTTAGGGCTCAGAGGACTCGGTTGGAATCGCCAACACAGATCAGAGAATCAAAAAGTTCAAACATAAAAATATAGAACTATATAGAAATATGTTGTAGAATATTGAGAGCCAAAACTAAAAAAATCTATAGTGGTATTTTACATAGATGTTCCAAATCATATTGTAAAGTCGTTTGGTTCTGGAAGGTCAGACAAATATCTTTCTAAACTTTGTATCTGTAACTTATTATTTTTGAGTGTGGCAACTTCTGTTGGCAAACACTGAAGAACACCACAGGCCTTGAGTAAGTTCCATCTCTGGCCACTAGGCTGTGCTGTGCCTCTGCTGCTGATGCTTGGCTCCCACTGGGGCTGAGAGAAAGCTGCTTCAAATCCACACATTTCAAAATCAGTTTTGCTCCCTGGGAGCTGCAGTTGCAGAGGCTAACTCTCCCCTGCTGTGTCATATTATTTTATCAAAACATTATCTTGATGTTGTGCGCAGGATGAGACTAGCTTTCGACCCGCACACAAAAACTAATAGGGTCACCTCTAAATTCTAATATTTTCTTTCATCATTCCCGTCCATGTATCTGCTCTAACATTTATGATTCTCTTTAAAGTCCATATCACAGGGAAGACTGCAGATCTTGTTTAAGGGTGAAGTCATGGCTTACGTCACTGTTTCTTGGGCAAACTATATTCAAAATACACATTCCCTAATGGTGCAAGACCTCAGCTTCTGCATGTACTTAAAAGATCTTTTATGGAGTTGTAAAAACATTCAGTATCTAACCTACCATCAGTGTGATTGAATTATAACCCATAGCCCTTGAAGAGGGTTGTAAAGGTGTAAACACTAACATTATTATCTATAATAATTATGCATTCTACTAATGCATACTATTGTTTTTCTATGTACAGTATACTATTTATCAATATACAGCCACTGAAGGCAGGTGGTCAGACAAAGGGGAGAGTCTGCAGTTAGGACTGATGAGAGCTTTAGGTGCCTGGTACCTGTCTGTGGTACTGTCTGGCTGCCTGTCTGTGTTCAGGTTGTTCTGGTTTGGTCTGATCAAAAACTCACCGCTGGAAACGACTGCTGATCTTGGTTTCTAAAGGTCAAGACATGGATCCATCATTATGAAAAAGCAGTCCTGATAGTCCTCTCTTGCCTCTTATACTTAATTGTCTTTGTAGGGAAATGTGTCTTGTGTACTTGACCCATCCTGTAATGCCTCTGGGTAGGGCTGCACAGTATATCAAAAATATATTGTTATCGCGATATTGGTGCATGCAATATCCATATCAAAAGATGTGCGATAAAAATAAAAAAAACATGCATTGTATTTTTTTTCTTTTCCTTTATTTAAGACAACAAAACAAACAGAGACAACAACATTCAACAAGATCAACAAACAAACAAACAAAGAAAAAAGTAAATAAATATATGCATTTGAATGTCATCGATGTTGTGCTTATCTTTTGTTATTTGTCTCTTGCGTTTGAAAGCAGTTTGCAATTTTAGGTGAAAGACAAAAATATCGCAATACTAAACACTCATATCGCTAGAATATCGCTCTATTTTCCAATATTGTGCAGCCCTACCATTGGTCCAGGGCCTCTGTCAGGAGTAGTGGTCGCTGTAGCACTACTGCAGGATTTTTCTTATGGTGCATGTGTTATAGTAGTATTCAATCCCCACATGGGATTGAA